ATGTATGAACTTATTAACGCTTCCAGCTTATTCACTGTTGTCAAAGAAACCTCGTACACAGTCAGTTGCCACAGCAACCTCGGCAATAGACCAAACTGAAAGCACCAGAGTTTTAGCTTGCCTGGTAGAGCACAGCTGTTTATGCTCTTCAACCCTTCCACTGCTTGTTGTCTAACTTCTCCCACTCGAACTGTTTCCTTTAGATCCCCATTGTACCATCTCCCAAGACTCTTCACTGGCTTCTCAGAAACTGTTGGTATTGCCTCACCATTAATGAAGAATGCTTTATCTACTACCTTTCCTTTAACTATCGAGATACTCCTTGATTTAGATGGCTTAAGTTGCATTCATGCCCATTCTATATTATCTGTTAACTTCCCCAATAACCGATTAGTGCAGGCTACTCTTGTAGTCATGGTTGTCATGTCATCCATGTATGCTCTGATTGGTGGTAGTCTGCATCCCAGAAGCCAAGCGCTCTCCTCCTACTACCCATCTTGATGCCCTAATGATTACTTCCATTGCCATAGTAAAAGCCAGTGGAGAAATGGTGCGTCCTGCATTCCAACCTCTAAGCATTGCCATGCAGTGCTGAATTTTGGAGTTGAGAAACTAAATTGCAAATCTGTAAAGTAGGCTTTCACTAAATTTGTTATTGACATTGGTACTCTGAAAAAATTGAATGCTACCCACAGAAGCTCATGTGGCACTGAACCATATGCATTAGCCAAATCCAATGTCACATGGAGCTCCTTCCTCTCCTTTTTTGCTGACTGAATTTGTTGCCAGATAACATTGATGTGTTCTAAGCATCCTGAGAACCCTGGAATGCCCGCTTTTTTTAATTTAAGTGTCAATGAAGCCATTCTTTAATAGGTAGGTGGACAATCTCTGGGCAATAATGCTGAAGAAAGTCTTACCTTCAACGTTTAAACGTTTACCTTCAAAATGAAATAGGACGAAACTGACTGATGCTTCTAGCATCTTTTTCTTTAGGTATAAAGACTCCACATGCTCTGCACCATGCTCTAGGCACAACCTGTTTTTCCCATGCCACTTTTTAATAAATTGTAATTTTTTGAAGGTTCTATTTAATTCCTCACTATTTAACCTTCCTTATAGGGTTCCATAAGGTTCCATCTTGGGAACAATTTTATTGTCCACCAATAATTGTCATGTGGTGCAACCAACGAAGAGAAAGGAGAAAAAGAAAGAAGAGAAAAATGGAGAAAAAAAAGGAAATTAAATCATAGGGAGGACCCCTGCAGACTCTCATGACTGTGTGAAGGTCAATTAGTCTTCGACAATATATCATATGGTGTGACTATCCAAAATCTTGGATATAATTATGTTATAATTATAATAATAATTATTAAAGTTTGGCCTTACATTTGTTACATTAGTTTTTGTGATTTGACCCATTCACACAATAAAAATGCCAATCCTGTACAGTTTTCTCTCAAATCTGTGCAATAAAAGCAAGTCAACAGATTCCATCTAAGCTTGCATATCAGTGGTTGTTGATGGAGCTCTCTTTCTTTTTTTTTCTCAATCTGAGAAAATTAAGTGAGTTGTGGTGGGATTTACTGCATTCTCATAGCTTTTTTAATGTTCTTGAATTGTTTGTTTTTCATAAGACTGCTGAGGCATTGTTAGATGTCTTCTAGTACTCGCCCATGACCCTGTATAAACCCATGGGAATTCAGATGTTTACTCCCTGGAGATGTAGCCACAGCTGGAGCTCTAAACCACCACTGCACCCTGCAGACATGCATGGGATTGAGTTTTGAATTGACACAAACAAGATGCTCAACTCTGGGATCCTGTTTGGGAAAACAGACAGTGCTAACCGAGAGCAGTGGTTTGCATAGATATACTGTAGGTTCAGTTTCTGTTTAAGCTCAGGAGTTTGTACAATTATTGCAGTGCATTTCGGTCGTATTTCTGTTTAAATTTACCAACCAATTCACCAACCGCAATTGAGAAAGAGTTATTAGACTTCTTGTTATATGAAAACAAATAACAAGGCCCACTTGCTTTAATATCAGCTGATTAACCTGCTACTTTAGTATAACATTAACTGATTAGTTTGTTCGTTTAGCCAAAAACATAGACTATTATCCAGCTATTGTATCATAATTCTAATGTAGTAGCTTTTGCTACAAAATGGTTATCTGCTTATCTCAATTTATTATTGATAATCACAATAATAATTAACTTTAAAAAAAAAAAACATCAAACTTTTTCCAAGAAGAAAACTAATTTTTATTATGTATGTGTTAAATTTTCAAACTAGGTTGATTGACTGAAAACTTCTATTTTAAAATGAGTAGTGAAATAACTCTACCCATGTGTTTCAAAGGCTTTACGTAGGTCTTACGTAGGGTTCCCTACAGAGAGCTTGTCAAAGGACCTTTCAGCTCTATCACAACAGTTGGCCTGTGTTGAGGATTTCACCAGAGTTCAAATTGCCGCATTGTGACGGACTAGGAATACCAGACATTACGATTTTATACTCATTTGACACACTTTAATAAAATAAAAAATGAAACAAAATTAAAAAGAAATACACTTTAGCATACATTAAAAAGAGTGTAAATGGAAATAATATACTTTAGAGTGCTTTTCTGACCCACTTATTTAGGACTGAAGTACATCTTCATATGTTATTTCATTATTACTTATGTTGTCTTTGAAAAATGGTTAAAATGTACTGCTGGATGTACTGCCAAGCATTTATGGTTAACTAAAATATACTTAAATGTAAGTTCTATTGAAAATTGAATGTCATGTATTTAAATGTTTTTATTTTTTATTTACACATTTGTTATGTTGAGGTTGCAATTAATTTATATTAACTTTAAAAGTAACATCAAATTATAAATCAAGTACTTTACAGATGCTTTAATATGTTATTCAACACATCAAAATAAGATTAACACATCAAAACACTTCTATAAGTCTACTTCAAATAAGTCCATAATAACAAAACTTAGGCTTATTAAAATAATATTATTCAAACTCTTAGTTTGGCATTATTACAAAGTGCACTTTTTACTTAAGTGTGTTAAGAAACATAGTCATGAAAGTGTAACTGTACACTTAAGTGGCATTTTGTTTCAATTATATTATATTATCTGCCATTATAGTAAAAAAAAAAAAAAAAAATTAATGATGACTATAGAACGCAAAAGCCAAATCCCGGACATTTTGGGCGATCTTAAAACACATTTTCGGGCAGACTCATCACGGAGACTCTAGCAACTTTAGTAATTGCACTCACAACAACCGATTCCCATACCCACAGGGGACGCAGTAATACGAGTGATTATAATCGTCATTTAAAATACCAAAGCGGTTCAAAAACAATGAAAACAATTAATTCTTACAAGTCACAGGGCGCAGCCATCTTGAATTCCGAAACGGATTTCTTGCTCGGTGTCCTCATGTTTGTCCGACGTCCAAGAGGAGAAATCCGAGGATAGGGGGCGTGTTGCTAGGCAACGTCTGTCGTCCGATTCGGATCTCCGAGACGGATGAATAATAGAAAGCAAAAAATAATAGAATAGCAAAAAAACTATCAAGAATAACGACTTTATTCAACTATTCATTTTCTTCATGTTGGCCTCGAGATTTCACGTAGTGAAACTCAAAGATTTTAGGTTGTACGTCACACGCATGTGACGCACAGAACCGTTGCTCAGTTCCACTATGTGAAATCTAAGGCCAACAGAGAAGGAAATGAATGGTTGAATAAATTCATTATTTTTGTTTGTTTTTTGCACACAAAAAGCATTCTCGTCGCTTGATAAACTTAAGATTGAGCCACTGCAGTCATTCGGACTATTTTAACAATGTCTTGCATAACTTAAAGAGATTCACAAGAGAAAAAGATGGTTGAGCAGGGGTATGCAACTATGTTTTTATCTTTTCTGAAGAAAATATGAGTGACACTTACCTGTGCAAAAGGTGTTTTATTTTTGTTGCTAGGTGGGTCAGGTCCCTAAGTGGTTCATGGTCCCTGTTTCATAGTTCAGAATAAGTTATTCTGAAATAACTAGAAAACGTTTAATGCTTTAAAATATGTGAGAAAGAGTGAGAGAGGATTGACTGCAGCACAAAGGCCCACTGATGTGTCTCTGTGTAATATACACAGTGTGTGGAGTCTCTGTATGTTTACTGTGGTGAGGGCTTGAACAGTAGCCTGTTTGTCTGTAGCCAACAGAATAAGGATAAGACAGAGAGCAGGCTTCACTTTAAACCATTATAAAACAGGTAAAGGCCTCTTTTCCTTCTCAAGTAACCAAATATCACAGCATGATTTCACAATTGCAGCTATTCAGGATGGGAGAAATGTGTTTAATTCAATATTAAATTATTCTTTAGGTCCACAGTAAAGGTAGAACTTCATTGTTGGGGCACATGTGCTGATGTTTTTGTGGATATTAGTCTAATGTGATGAATGAGTTCAGCTGCAGGAATACACGCTAACAATGTCATGAAGTCACTTTAGTAAATAATTCAAAGCAATATAGAACACACTTATTAAGCTTAGAGGGTAAATGAACCAGCTGTTTTGGAGCCCTCCGCTTGAAAATCTGAAAACTGAGCCTGTTTACTATTGTGGTTTAATTAATCAAACACTGATCTCTCCTGAAAAGATTAACTGTAATTATAACAGGCTAGTCAGGCAGATAGTTAACCTTTCTTCAAGCCTTCATCATCTGTTTTTGCTAACTGAAATCAAAAGTTTTTATAGATTTTATTGTTTTACCTTGGTCCAAGGTACAGACTTTAAATAAAAATCCATATACCCATCAAATATTACTACAATTTAAAAATCATCAAATTGCATTAAACATCAAATAATCATTAACAGTGTCAGTCAAGAAATGAGACAAAAATCCAAATTGTTATTTTTTTAATTATGAAAAATGTGAAAAATCATTTAATTGTGTTTATTGATAAAACATATATATATGTTTTCTTTGATTTTGTAGTGCTGGCTCAGCTGGTTTCGGACCTGCAGGCGTTCTTGCTGGTTCTGGACAGTGAGAATCTCAGTTATATTGCTCAGGCCCAGAAAAAATCCATCTCAGAGCTGCTATATAAACTACAGGACAATAAGGACACACCAGGTAAATACTTGGTTATATGAAGTAAATGTGTGACTGTATATGTAAGTATACACTGTCGTTCCAATGTTTGAAGTAGGAAATATTTTTTTAATGTTTTGAAAGAAGACTCTAAAGGCCCTTTTTCGGGTTCCGTTTTCTGTGTTTTTCGCATCCGTAGCGAGCATTTTGAGAGGTGTTTTGACAGTTCAGGGCCACCGAATGACTAATCTGAAAAACGCAAATTTCAGACTCCGTGTGCAAGGACCTTTATGCTCACCAAGGCTGTATTAATTTTTATTAAAATGACAATAAAACCAGTATTGTTGCAGAATAAGTATAGACAGGAGATGAACTCAAATGCTGGGTTTAATTACAAAATAAAAACTCATCTATAAACTGAAACAAAAGAATCCAGGAAGCAATAAGGTCTGTAGTCGATGTAGCAAAACATTGACAGTTGCAGACTGATTAAATTCCACCGTACAAAGAGTGTTTTTTGTTAAAGTCCCCCTGTAGTCAATAATTTTATCCCTTAAAACTCATCTTTGATCACCAAAGTGACATACACTTTTTTTTTTCCTGTGAAAAAATGTATTCATGCCTTAAAATAGCTTGAATGTAACTCTACACCCTTGCTTAATTTAGTATGCGGACCCATAAATTTGGAAATACTGGTTTAATTCAGCCATATATGTTTGAACCAGATACTGATTCAGAAGAAGTGGTGAAAGAGTGAATTAAACAGGCTTGTCTACAAGTTCAGACAAGTAAAGTACAATGTATCAGAATGGTAGTGCGTTTTACTGTATAAATCGCTCTGTGCAACGTCGGACACAAAACTGTAATTAATATGCTCAGCCTTTTGCTGCTTGACTACGTGATCAAACAGCTTATAATGTGTTGCTAATGATGAACAAACCATGTTACCGTTCGCCATCTCAGAGTCAGACAGCTGCCTTCTAAAAATCAGCATCCTTAGAAATGCTTTGAACATCATAGAAAGTCAGTGGAGAAAGGCGTATAGTTCATCATAACATCATACTATACATAATTCACCCGCTATATAGCTAAATATACATGATTTTTCTTATTAACAGAAAAATAGACTGGGATAATCTGGCTTCTCTTGAGACTCCCTGCATTGTATAATATTTAATGCATCTTGACGTAATTGGTTGCCATTTGCAGTTTGTGACGTAAGGAACATTGGCGAATTCAAACCATGTTTTAGAGACAATGGTGTTGACTTGTGAGTGACACTTTGCACATGGTTTGTCTTAAAGCATATTAAAATCACCACATAATCAAATAAACAGTATTAAAAGCTTGATTTTCACCACAGGGTGATTTTAAACGTCTCATATGTGCGTTATCACTGCAGCACAGCACCAACAAAGCTGTCATGTTTTTTTGTTTGTTTTTTTTTGTTTGTTTTTGTCTGTCTGGAAATACTGCAGATTCACCTACAGCTGTTGTGATTGACTGAACTTTACCTTTACTGAGAGTCAGTGGAAGGTCATGGTAAGATTGGGGGGACAGATGTTCAATTCGAAAACCGCTACTCTCATATAACCTATATAAAAAGGTCATCTTTACCACCATATCTTAAGACATTTATATGTAAATGACTTCTGTTATATGGATGTCTAACCTCTTCATACTTCAGTTTATGGCTGCACTTTGGGTTTTGGGTTCTTACAATTTTATGAATGTGTATATAATATAATAAATTACAATTTTATGTGTTTATATGTTCAGCAGAGGATGCAGAGTACATGATTATGAACTGTCCCTCTGGAGGCCCCAGTGATCTCAGGGAAAGCACCACTGCTGAGGCTCATTCGATGGAGGAACCCATTTCAGTCACCTCTACTGAACTACTGCAGCAAGGGGTGAGTCCAGCCCTTATGACTCCATGATTTGATATAACACTGAAAGATTTATTGACATGTTACTGCTTTAAGTACTTAAAGAAAGATTTTTGTTTTGTATGAAAGCCAATATTACATACAAGACAATATTATTTGAGTTGGTATGGACCCTGTTTGCTTACTCTTTCCTCAAAGTCTTATTGTGCACCATTTATCTGTTCATAGTCAGTTTTCCAAATAATAATTTAAAAAAAATTCTTAACCTTTCATCACAATGTAATAACTCCTCCAGTCACTAGCCTTAATTTATTTTTCAGCCAGCTCGTCCTACTCAACCACCGCTCGCGCGCTGGAAGCTGTTTCATGTGAGGGGGGCTGAGGGCTGGGTTGAAAAATATGATGCCATTATGAAAAAAAAAAAACATGAATTTTCTCTGTACAGTATAGGGTACGTGTTGTAGCCATTAAAGTGAATATATTTAGTATCATATTTATGTTTAAATATTGTAGACAGAGGTGGATGTAACGAATTACAACTACTCAGATTACTGTAATTAACTAGTTTTTTCATGTACTTTTATGAGTATATTTTTAAGTCTGTAATTTTCCTTGTACTTGAGTATAAATTAAGTTAAGTAATGTACTTCACTACTTTAAATATCCCATTAATTACAAAGTACTTGTACAATTTAAATTCAACAAGTATTCAAATCTTTGACCAGCATTTGGCTATCCAATGGCAATAACTGATCGTGGGCAGGCCAATAAAAACCCTTGTATTTGGACCGGGAAAAAAGCCCGGTTTCTGGAGAGCTATTCGCCCTCGCACGTCCTTCAGTGTGTATTTTAGTGTTATCAAAGAACTTTGCCATTATGGACGTGGAGATTTGAGACGCTGAATTCATTTGAAAATTCCGAAGAAATACCAGATGACGAGTGTCCATAGCCGCACCTGGAGGAGTTGTTCTTATACAGAGGAAGGAAAGGAGATAGCGTGCATTTTATAGAAACTTTGTTTGCCATCTGCAGTGATTTTGGCTTACAAGACTTCAGCCTCTAATCTCAAAAAAATACATTATGGTAAATTTATCTGATAGTTGTTTTCGTTTTTAATGTTGAGTAGACATCACGATAATTTGACTAAAAACATCCCTTGAAACATGAGCTTCAGCATTACCCAGGTGACAGGCACATATACCTTAGCATTGTAAACTTGCGCTCAAAGTTAGATTGTATATGATTGGCAACACATTGTTTTATTAATATTGAATCTGTGTTTTAAGCTTAGAAAGAAGAGTTTAATGACTCTTTCATAAAAACAGTCTCTTGCCGGCCGCGACCCACTGGCGTAACAGTGTAACAGCGCTGATTGACAGTCTGTCTAGACTGCGCATATGTCAGTGCTAAATGCTGATAACTTTTGAAACTTTTGAAATATTAGTAATTAGGAAATTTTTATTGTAAAAAAGAAAAAAAGAAGTTTATAAATAAAATAAACCAATAAGCTTATTTATTTTGCATTATAATTTATTAATAATAATAATCATTAGAACATTTTTATATCTTGGTTTCCATAAAAGTAAATAAATATCACAGGCTAAAAAGTAATTAGTACTTGAGTAGTTTTTGAGAGGGGTACTTTGTACTTTTACTTAAGTACATTTTTAACACCAGTACTTTTGCTTGTAATTGAGTATTATTTTAGCAACTACTTGTACTTGTACTTGAGTACAAATTTTCAGTACTCTTTCCACCTCTGATTATAGACTAATGTTATTTTTTTAATTTAATCAATGTTGATTATGAAAGTGAGCATGCAGCATGAGAAAGATATGATACATCATGAGATGCGCAATATATCTAGTGACAATCAACCAATTGCCTGTATTTAATAAATAAGAAGCAGATATATAGCAGAATGTAATAAGGCGCTGGCACAATCACTTGCATTGCACGTGAACTTGGATCACACCGAAACTCAGCTTGTGCCTATGCTGTCCATTGATGCCCACTTCATCAATAAGCAATCAGGTAAAATGAGAGGCCAAGACACAAACATCACTGTGTGTCAAATAAAATGTTTTATTTACGATAATAGTGATTGTCGGACGAGATTGGGTGCCTGACTTCCCTTGGCTTCCGGTAGAAAACACCACTGAGAACGGGGGTGTGATAATATGTGAGAATAGTAACTAATAATAAGACATTAGTTAAACGTTTATTTTTCAGAAATTATCTGAAAAATACAAATTTTCCTAATGTCATATTTAATCACTATACATGCATATTATTTAGTGATGTGCTGCCCAATGCTAGCCACAGGACTACGATGAATAGGCAACAGAATACGGAAATAAATGAAGCTAAAATGCTTGTCGGCAGTATAAGGAATTTAAAACCATTTCTTATCTCTATTTAAAGTGCACCAAACATGGCCTTGCGTTCTGGTGTGTTTCTGATGAATCTCCGAACAAGAGAAATTCAAACGAGTGTCAGGTGATTGAAGCAACTGAGGAGGAGGCGCAGGCGTAGTATATCAACGATTCACGAAATATTAAAGGGAGGTTGATTGCGATTTCACTTTTTTCATTTTAAACAGTGTGTAATGTTGCTGTTGGTGCATGAACAGTATCTGCAAAGTTGCACCGCTGAAAGTTCAGTGTAAGCAGAGATATCTAACGTCTTTTAAAAATCAGGAAGTATATTGCCTACAAAAACGACTCGATTGGGACTACAGCTGGGTTTTAGACGTCACTAACCCATACATTTACATCAACCCTCCCTCCGGAATATGCAAAAAAGGGCATGGCCATATTTCTGCGACTCGTCGAGTGTGTTATGTTCACCAGCTGTCAGGTCTTCTGTGTTCAGGCTTCCCACGGACGCTGTACTTCATCAACAATGGATGCAATTTATGTTTGATTATGTTCCTGAAAATGGCGATCGTAATTTAGCTCTCTGTGCTGCGCATTTTATGGAAGACAGCTTCCAGAATCTCCACGAATTCAACACCGGATTCAACAAGAAACTGTTACTAAAACATGAAGCAGTTTCAACTTTAAAACCAGAGGCAGCAGTTGTTGGGCCACAACCTGTAAATAGGCTAAGACTTAATCGTTTTAAATGTATTTGCATTTATAATTTCAGACATAGCCTTGTGTTTTAGTTACCAAATGCCAGCGCTGGCTTTATATCCACTTAGTTATGCTATTTTGTGTCTACGACAAATGCGTACAAACATTTTGGACCTGAATTTGAATACGTACTCATTTTATAAATGTATTTTTCATGTACAGTATATATACTTTATGACATTATTTTTCTATTTGATCAAAAATGTAAACTAATGCCAACGCTGTTTGTGTATGTAATAGCCATTCAGTTCAATGCTATTGTGTTAAACAAACGTGTATAAAGTAAAAAAAAAATATTTAGGCAAATTACCATTCAGAAACATTTTGTAAGAGCCGTGTTTGGTGAGGTTCTGCTTGCCTCTCTTCATCGCCGCTTTCTGGGTCTGATTCTGGCTTATACTGATACTGCAGTATCGACACAATTATGTACATTTGACTGGAATACACATGCAACTTTTGGGCGTTGTTATGTAAGAATGGGTTCGTTATGTGTGGGTGATGGAAGGAGACACAGGATCGGCGAATACTGGGACACGTGCACTTTTATTTACACAACTCTTTTCACAGCTCGAGGTCGCGCTCAAATAAAGTTAGCTCAGTATGTCAAAGGCAAAGTATGTCCCACTACAGACTTCACTGAACCATGTCCCCCTCGCCACAGGCATTAAGTATCCGGACAACGTGTACTACAGTTTAGCCAATCACAACACACCGGCCCAAACTAACCAATCTGAGCCCATTGCCTGTTTCTAAAGGGAGTGGTTTCATAGAATCAGGAAGTGCCCCCCTTCCCACGCCACGCCACTGCCACCATTTCAATTTTTGTTAATGATTTACCACTAGCCCTACATTTAAATATTTTTTTAAACTCCCAGAATGCGTGACCTCACAGCTTGATGAGGTAAAGCTGGAGGCTTAGTAGGAGGCAGTGGAGATGGTGCAGATGAGGAGTAGGAGAAGGGATGGTGATAGCAGGTGGCGAAGTAATGGTGACAGCCTGACGACGAGACCCTGGCGGCGATGATGAGCTTGTCTGAAGGCACAGACCCAGAGCCAAAGGCACGGATCCCAGGGCGCCGACAGAGAAGAGCAACATCGCTGGCACAGGAGGACGAGGCGACCATCATCTGAGGAGCCAGACTGCCCGAGGACTGAGGCGATGCTGCAGCCATATGAGTGGAGTAATGGACCGTAGCGGAAGATCCGCAAGTCTGTGGCAGAGGTGAACCCGTGGGATTCAAAAGGCCTAGGGCAGGGTTCCCCAAACTCGGCCCTGGAGGGCCCCTGTCCCTGCAGAGTTTAGCTCCAACCCTGATCAAACACACCTACCTGTGAGTTTCTACTGATCCTGAAGACCTTGATTAGCTTGCTCAGGTGTGTTTGATCAGGGTTGGAGCTAAACTCTGCAGGGACAGTGGCCCTCAAAGACCGAGTTTGGGGAACCCTGCCCTAGGGTGTCTGGTAGAGACGAAGGTGAGAGGAGCTAAAGTGGACCCGACAGGCCGAGACGATCTGAGGCCAGAGGTGGAGCCAGTGGATCTATCAGCTCAGACGCCGATGGTGGTTGCTGGACCTGAAGCTCGACCTGAGTGCTTGGCATTGCAGGAGATGGCAAAGGGCTTACGACCTCCAGCAGAGGCAGGGCTGGAGGACTGGCTGAGCAGGAGACAGATGGCTAGACAATGTTGAAGATAACAATCCATTATCCCACCCCATTTTGAATTTTACATTGCTGTTTCTAAGTGGGCAATTGTGACTTTAAATTAATCAATTCTGACTTTATATCTTGAAATTCTGAGAAATAAAGTCCGAATTGCGAGATGTAAACTCACAATTGTGAGGGGAAAAAAGCAGAATTGTGAGATAAAAAGTCACAATTACCTTTTT